AAAACTATTTATCATAATAATTATGATACTGTATGGTAGTATAAACCAACTTAATTAAAAAAAAAGTCAGAATTATTACAGTTCTAATTATACTATGACTATAGCTCCCTGCCATGTTTAATGTTAACTTGTTTTAAAATAAAATAAAATAAATTAAATTATAAAATTTAAAAATTTAAATATTTTTTTTGTGAAATCTCATAAATTTATTCAATTTATTAAAATTTAAGGCCGCTCCAATAAATAGTCTCGTTTAACCAAACATTTTGTATTAAATATTATTAGTCAATTAGTTTTATTTGTTTAAAATTTTTTGTTTATGATCCGCTGATGATCCCATTGATCCCCTCTCATCTTCCCCAACAAAAAAAAAGCTCGGGCACGTGTCCGGGATGTGGCTGTGATATTTATTTATATTCAAACACAGCCACATCCCGGATCAAGTGCCCGAGCTTTTTTTGTTGGGGAGTTCCACAATAAAAAATGAAAATTGATTTGATAGGTTTCATTAATCAAAATTTTTTGTCAATATTACCGCGTTTTGGAAGTTTCGAAATTTAGAAATATGGCGAAACTAACTTAAATTAGCTGGTTTCGTTGACACAGAAATCAGAGGTACTAGTAGGACCCAGATATATATATATTTAATAAAGGGTCAGATGGCGAAAAATTTTTTACTATGAGAGACTTTTATATGAGTAGTACGCATAATTGACACCCGATATTGAAAATCCTGCAAAAATACGCAAATAAAATTTCAGACATTAAGTTATTAATTATTTTATCATGACTTCTATATTATTTATAAAAAACAAATACTAACGTGAAAAAATAGAATTTATTCTAATTTACCATTTTTTTCAATAATATTTTTTCTAAAATTTCACTTTTTAACCCTTAGAAATTTCTTTCACGTACAGTAAATATTTATTAAGATTAGCCAAATTTAGGCCAAAAATATGCAAACTAATTTTTTACATATAAAAATTTTGATACCTAACTATGGATGAAAAATTCTTAGATTGTACTTTACTCTGTCTAATTTCACTATGATGACAACGCATCTGTGTACCTTATCCCTGTATATATATTTAAGGGTCCTGTACTAGTGAGTCATCAGCTAAAAAGGGTGAAAGCTAGAATTTTTGAGTAATTTAACTAACTTTGTGTACATGATCGTGATGATCGTGATCAGGAAGTGAACCAATAAAAAAAATTTTTTCCAAAATTTGGATTTTTGATTTCTAATAATAAGGTTTTTTTGTCATTCTTATCTCCGTATATTCCGAAAATGCTTGAAAGAAACGCAATCGGCGGACGTAGTAAGGACAATACGCAAATATGAAATTTTATTTATTATACAGATAAAGGATAATACTGTATATCACTTTTGTATATCACTTTTGTCGTGTAATGACAGAATAATATAATTTAAATTTTATTTTGTTTCTGCATTTTCCATTTAATAATCAATGCACAGATTATTATCATAAATCTTAACTTTTTTCCGATTTCTACCAATAGTTGGATACTTGGCGCCAAGTCTTTCCATAAATAACATTATGCTTTCCTCGATCGATTGTAAATTGATTTATAATTTTACGTAATTAGTTATACTGCATTTTATATTTTACAAGCTATTACTAATAATTATTAATAATGAAACAAAAAGGGATAGTTTATAGTACATTTTTAGTTAAAAGAACAGATTCAAATGATAATACAATATACTGTAAGTTCTGATTTGTGCTAATATTTGATTGACATTATTGCACGATTATTCGTTTTTTTCCGCGACTTTTTTACTTACCAGGAGGTGAACAGCATGGACGTAAATAGTTAAATATACATATAAAATAGCAGATGAATTGATATTATTACTAATTTTTATTGTGATTAACGAGTTGATATTAGCGATTACTGATTAATGCACATTATTTCTAGTTCTAATTACAATTAAAATCACTAATAAAGACGCTTTGATAACATTGACAATAAGATCTGGCCAAATAGATTTCAAACCATAAATTAATGCACGAAATATTTATCACATGCATTTCTGAGTGATATAGATTATTTATATTAGGTATAAAAGAAACTCCGAAGTATCCGGTTTCAACTAGTGACCAAAAAGGACTAAATGTTCTATTTAAAGTTTTTAACAACACAAAACAGCCCTTTATTTAAGTAGAGAACAAATGAACGCCAAGGTTACTGTTTTTTGATCTTCAAATGATATATTTAATTTGTTTGCTGAAATTGTATCATTGTAGTAATTATATAAATAAAAAAAAATTATAGTATTACGCCGTATAGTTACTGATATTAAAAGAACCAATAATTTAAAAAATAAATTCGACGATATTCAAATATTTCATTAATTTGCTGATTTAGAATAATTAAGTAATAGAGATATGATGCAATATTTACGAATAAAAAACTATATATAAACTGAACCTTATTTTTTATAGCATTTAACAAATAATAAGTTTTATTTACTTTCGTTATAATGTCATCAAAAAATTATGGACAAAAAACGTGCGGAACGCCGCCATATGTTCAAAAAATTCGTTTCGAGAATAAAATAAAAAAAAGAAACCCCCAAAAAATTTGCTCCGATTGTAAAGAAACGAGCGATTCTATCAAACTTTTTTCTAGTAAAGTAAATAAATTAGAAGAAATTGTTGACAATTTTTATATGAATCCCATAAAAAAAAATAAGAATAAACAAATTTCTATTTTTAATGCAAAATTTACTTTAAATAATATCCCTTGCGAATTAGAATATGATTTATCAAAATTTTCTTTGGAAAATTTACATAAATTGGTGAATTTTACAACTCAAAATTGCAATAACAATAATAAATATTCATCTTCTATCGAAAAAATCGATGATAAATGATCATCAAGCGATATTCTTCCACACAAACACAAATTTTATGCATTAAGATTTATTAAGAAATTATGAAGTTGCTCAAATTTATGGCTTGTACATTTATGTTCCTTATTAGGTTAGACGTTTGTAACAACCTTTAATTCCTTTTTTATTTAAAAAATAATTTATTATTATAGTATGAATAAAATGTGATTTCTTGGCACTAGTTTTATGGTCTAATTTTATCATCTTGACAATTTGTCTTTTTGAACTCAATAAGTATTAATAACTAACTTGGTATACTTTCCTTGGCTTCCTTGGCCATAAGTATCGTGTAATTTACAAACAAGTTGATCTGACGAAGTGATATCGAGTAACGTGGAAATATACGAATGAATCTAGACACCTATGAGTTTCTAGAACCACAACAAAAGTAATAAAAAAAATTAAAAATCTAATTTTTTGACCAATAAATTTTGAAGTTTCACTAGCCTTTAAAATTTCGAATAACAGATAATGTTTGAGATTTGTTCAATTAACATTGAAAGTAAGTACGTTTCATTAGTGGTTCTTTTAATGGTAACTCAAATACTTCAAACTTATGAAAATATATATATATATATATGACCAATAATATCGTCGAATTTTTTTTTCGATAACGGCGATAAATAGTAAATGTAAAAAAAAAATGAAAATTGTCATGTTTCACTATAACTTTCTTTGACTACTTATCGTGAACGCAATGATGAAAATAAAATTCCCTATTTGATGTAGTTATTATAGTTATTGGTTCTTTGGTTCTTTTATAAAATATTAGTAGCTATACAGCGTAATACTATAAAAATTTTTATTTAATATATTTATATAATTACTACAATGATACAATTTCATTGAATAATTATTATAATAATCAGTAGTCTCATGATCAATAAATCAATAATAAAATACAAGAAAATCAAGTGATCAACTTTATGACATAATTTCTAACTTTTGATGATCAACTGAGTGGTGTGGCTTGAGAAGTAAAACTATGATCTCATACTCATATTTGTAGCTTGTACATTTCATATGGGCTGATTTTTCCCTTATTAGGCTTATTAGGTTGATTTTTTTACCGCGATCAGATTTTTCCCTTGCATATAAAAACAAATTTGATGCTACCTAATACATTTATGTCGTTAATACAAACTAACTTAATAGGATGTCATTGTGATTAATTGAAAATTTCGCATTAAAAACAATAAGATGTCAAAACTAATTGTTCTATTCGTGTGAAATTATTATTCAAATTAATCTTCTAATAGACCTTTATTTACAATAAAAGTCTTTTTAGACATTTAACGATGAAATAATTTTTCTGTACTATAGCAGCTGCGTCTTCGGATGAACACGTTATTCTTCATGTTAGGTCTTATTAATTTAAAATGAAATATCAAATTATAATTCAAACTATGCTATATTATTGTTACGTTTGAAGTCGAGCATTAGTATACGTGCGATCGATCGATCAATAATTTGTAACACTAGCCCTGTTCAATTTGTTCAATTCTAAACCGAATCGGATTTATCGTAAAAATTTGCATCTTAGATAATTGGTTGCTGATGCGATCAGCGGTCAGTCAAATAGATCTACAAAAAAAATTGGTGTTCACCCAGATCCAATCCAAAAACTGTGCTTAATTGTAACTATGATCTGATTGGTTATACATTTTTTCGGTCGATCAAGAATTGAATTTTACTTGTACAATAAAAAATAACGATATAGTATTGAAATCGTATTCATGAATCATGATCACCATAAAATTTTCACTACCAGAAATGTACAATTGAAATTCCACGATAACAATGTTATTTTTTTTACAACTTTTACTAAATATTATAAGAAACTTTATTATTAAAAATAGCGTTAAATACAATGTTTTATTACATATTTAAAATATTAGCTATAAATAATTTTTAAAAAACAAAATAACTATTTCTTTATTAATTAGTCTGAGGTACATGTCAATCGTAATAAAGTGTTATTGCACCGTAAACAAAGTGAAATTTTGAAAGCCTTTATATATTAATTAGTATGCTTTAACACTTACAACTTATTCGGCCAAACTGAAGAATTAGGTATTATAAATTTGCATGGGTTTGGTTTTGATTCATATGGGCCGATTCAACGCATAAAATGGATTTGGCCAACATTATCGGATATTTTAAGGGAAATTTGGCTAAAATTACGGTATTTTCGGCCAAAATTACAGCATGTCCAACAGGTGGACAACAGGTTTTTGAGGAGACGATAGATGATTATTATTATAACTTTATACTATCTTGCCAAAAATAATAATTTTGTAACTAAAGTAAATTTGTTAAGCTTTACAATTATTGTTATATAGAAAAAAAATACTTCATTGAAATTTTTTAACAAAAATTTTAATAAATAACAAATTTACTACTTAATGCATCAAATCGGCCCATACCACCACACTAACCTCATTTCTTTCTTTTATTCTTTATTCTTATTTCGTTTCTTTATTCCTTTCATTTTATTTCATTTTATTTCCTTTCTTCCCTCTTTTATTTCCTATTCCATTCGTTCTTCATGTTCCATTTTGTTCTTTACTTCACTTTCTTTACTTCACGTTTCATTTTGTTCTTTACTTCATGTTCCATTTTGTTTCTCCACTTTCTATTCCATTTTGTGATTTACTATCACATTTTGTACTACATTTCCTGTTCCATTTTGTTTATATTTCATTTTCACTTTTTCTTATCCTTTTGTTTTCTTTTTTTCCTTTGTTTTTTTTCTCTTTTCCTCTTCCTTTATTTCTTCTCCTTATTTCATTTATTTTATTCTTTTTTATTTTAGGAAGTTCAATTATAAAATCAAATAAAAATTAGATTAGGCGACACAAAGTGGCAAAAATGGTAAAAATGGTTTTCATATCCCGGCCAGGTCAGTTTTTGTTAGGTCCCAAAAAAAAATTTTTTATATTATTACTATGTCGGGTGAGAATTTTTTAAAAATTAAAAAAAAAAATTTCACATAAAATTTTTGGAAAAAAAAAATTAAAGGCCGGTTGCCGGGTTATTGATGAAATTTTTATATTGTGAAAACCATAAGATTAAGTTTGTTATGGCCTTAGTCATATCTTATCATTGAAAGAGATGCTTAAGCAATGAACATGGCCTTAATAAAATATTTGTGTTTATATGCAAGTAATAAAGTTTAATTATCTTTCACGTTAAATGTCTGCTGGAATTGATAACCTCCTGACATATCCAAATATTTGATATTTTCAGTTTACTCTTTTTTTTGTATTCATACAATACTTTTGAACTATAATATATATGTCAATTTAGATTGTCATACGAAATTACAGGTCGTTTATCGTATTTAGTGCTTCGATCCGTGCACGGATAAAACCGCGGTATCCGGATATCCAAAAAAAAAATAGCTTGACCCATTATCCGGATAAAAAAAATTATAAAAATTTTTTTTTAATCATTTAAATTACTTATTTATTGAAATTATTATCTATTAAATTACCATTTATTAAAATCATAATCTATCTTACTAAAATTACTAGTAGAACATTCGATGGTCGGCAGTAATCCGGATACTGCTGCCTCTTGACAAATATCAAGCAATTTCATAAAATTCGGGCTGGCATTATAGATGGCCTGAACCCAGCTAAACAAAATTTGGGATTTTTGTAATTTTGGCCGCCATTATATGTTTGGCCCAAATTACTGTCGATCCATGATTTAAAAAAAAAAGTTTTTTTTAATAGATAGGTTGAATTGATTAATTTTAAGTTACAAAATAGTACAGTATATAAATATAATAAAAATAATTGGTTTATGCCTAATCTTCCATTATTTTACGATTTTATCGTGTTTTTTATATTTATAATAATGTATTTATTGCAAAATTTTACGTTTCTCAAATTTTCAAAAAATTGACAGGCAAAATTCATAGTGCCGGCCGAAATTAAAATTTTATTTTATTTAAAATTAATAAAATATCACCAATTTAGTTAAAAATATTAAGTCAAAATTTAATTAGGTTAATGCCACTGATATTATTTGTTAAGATCGATCAATAAAAAAATTTTTTATATATAATCTTATCCGGGTATACTTGCCGCCCATATAAATGGGATTGGGAGAATCCCATATCCCATCCCACCCATATCCCATCCCATATCCCATTTATCCCATCCCATTTGTCATAATCCCATTCCAATCCCAAATCCCAATCCCATTCCAATCCCATATCCCATATCCCATCCCATATCCCATTAATCTTATACATGTATATTGTGTAACCTTACTCCCATTGGTCTATCTATCACGTGATGTTACACAAAATTCCAAAAAAGGAAATTTTTCTTCCCACAAAAAATGGGAGATTTGGTTTCACAAGCATTCCGAAAAAGGAAATTTTTATGCCGATCATATAATTCCGGCCAGAATTACAGCTCTAGTATTACGGTCCTTTTTCAAATTAGTTTTTTGCGATTTTCTCAATATCCAGTGATCCAATTTTGATAAACTTTTTTTTAATTTGTAGCTAATATTAAGCTCTATAAAATAAAAATATTTCTTGCAAGAAATAATAAAAAAAAAAGAGCAGATTAGGTTAATTTTTGCAAAAAGCCATTATGAATTCTATAATAGATGTCTGAGGTCCTGTAATATCAATTAAATAAGAAATATTTGGAATTAATTTTTTATTGTTGCATTTGCCTTTTTATTATAAAAAAACATTACAAAATTATAAATTTTTTATAACAAAAATGTAATATTTTAACTTTATTTTAACCTATTTATTAAAATAATAAAAAATTTATCTATAAAATAATAAATAATAATTCATTAACATCAAATGCTTAGTATTTAATTAAAATGGCTTGGTATTCAATAAAAATGGATTTAGTTTTCTAATTTTTTTAATTTAAATTTAAATTATTAGCATATACA